ACAAAACAAAAACAAAAATGAAGATCCAACAATATGTCTACAAAAGATTTTGTTGCCTACAAAGATTCACCTTAACCTTGAAGACACACATAAACTGAGAGTAAAGGGATGGAAAAAGACACTCTAAGCAAATGGTAACCAAAAAAAAGCAGGAATAGGTAGCTATCCTAGTTATACCAAACAAAACAAACTTTAAACTAAAAATGGTAAAAGAAGACAAAAAAAAAGTCACTATGTAATGATAAAAAAGGTCAATATAACAGGAAGATTTTAAAAGTGTTAATATTTATGCACCCAACAACAGAGCATCTAGATATAGAAAGCAAAATCTAACACAATGATAGTTGGAGACTTTAATACTCCACTCAACAATAGATAATCCCGACAGAGAATCAGTAAGAAAACAGTGGATTTGAACAACACTATAGACCAAATGAACCTAACAGACACAGGACACTTACTTAACAACAGCAGAATACACATTCTTCTCAAGTACACATGGAACATTTTCTATGATAAACCATATGTAAGGCCACAAAACAGGTCTTAGCAAATTTAAGATTGAAATCATACCAAGTACCTTCTCTGACCATCATGGCATGAAACTACATATCAATAACAAGAGGAAAACTGAACAATTCATGAACACATGAAAATTATACAACACTCCCCTGAACAACCAATGGATCAAAGGAGAAGTTAAAGGGGAAATTAAAATTTTTCTTGAGACTAACAAAAAACAGGATTTGTAGGATGCAGCAAAAGTAGCTCTAAGAGGGAAGCTCACAGCAATAAGTATCTACATGAAGAAATAAGAAGGGTCCCAAATAAAAACCTAACTGCGCCTTAAGGAACTAAAACAAGAAGAAATTGAGCCCAAAATAATCAGAAGAGAGGAAATAATAAAGATTAGAGCAGAAATAAGTGAAACAGAGAAAAGAAAAAAAATAGAAAAGATTAACCAAACTAAGAGTTGGTTATTTGAAAAGATAAACAAAACTGGCAAACCCTTAGCTAGACTAATTAAGGAAAACAGGAAAAAGACCAAAATCAACAAAATCATAAATGAAGAATGAGACATCACAACTGATAACCACCGACATTCAAATGATTATAAAAGGCTACTATGAACAGCTACATGTCCATAAACTAGACAACCTAGAAGAAATGAAAAAAAAAATTAGAAACATACACCTTACCAAACCAGACTAAATCAGGAAGAAATAAAAAATACTCAATGGAGAAAAGACAGTCTCTTCAATAAATAGTGGTGAGATAATGATTCAGATGTAAAAGAATGAAACTATACCCATATCTATGTCATGCCTCAAAAATTAACTCAAAATGGATTAAAGATTTAAATGGTGGGGGGATGAGGAATTAGAGGCAGTTGGTCAAAAGACACAAACTTCCAGTAATAAGAAGTACCAGAGATGTAATGTACAAGGTGATCGCTAACACTACTACTGTATGATATACACGAAAGTTAAGAGAATAAATCCTAAGATTGCTCATCACAAGAGAATTTTGTTTCCTTTATTCTTTCTTCTTTTTTTTAATTGTATCTGTATGGGAAGATGGAAGTTAGCTGAACTTACTGCAGCAATCATTTCACAATAGATGCAAATCAAATCAACGTGCTGTATGCCTTACACTTATATAGTGATGTATATCGATTATTTCTCAATAAAACTGGGGAAAAAGTAAATGAATTTAATTGTGCTACTTAATAGCATTTGACAGCTTTGGGGCTTTGTGTAAGAGAAATCAAAGCAGTCAGTTATTTCATTAATTCAATGGTGAGAAATGTCAAAATATCATCTGTCTTTGTGTACATTAGTGTTTTAACTGAATTTTTCTCTTTTAATTTGCTGAAGGGTCACATAAACAACACTTCAAACACAACTAAAATATTTAGTTTCCTGAAAATTCATCTCTATACATTTTTTAAGTTTTGTTTTATTTAAATTTTTAAAAATATTTAACACTAAAAAATAAAACTAATAAATATGAATTTTTCAAAGTTGTAAACAGAAAACAATACTTTTCCTTTAGGACAACCAAAGGTCAAGAAACTGAGCCCATAAGCTAATTTCAAACTATAAACCATAGAAATGCAAGTCCAACTATCTTGTGTAATTGGAGCCAAATTCTTCCACCCCATTGTATTATCCTGAGTATGAAAGGTAAACTCTCTACTCAGGACAAAGCAAAGAATAAGTCTAGTTATATGCAATGTCAACACCGCCTTACACTTTCACCCCAACTTATAGATTTTATATTTGACAAGAGGCCTTGGGACACAGAGGCCTTAGGAGCTAGTGTATTATTATTTGGTTACCACTTTGCTCAGGATTTAGAAACGACCCATTGATACAGAATCACAAAACTGTGAGATTTTTGACAGATATATTTTGATTCATTCATCCTGCTTATAGGAAGGCTGTCATGATGTAATGGAGCAGATGCTACCAGCCTGAATCTAACCCTCTCTTGTTCCACAACCTCTAACAAATGCTTCTTCATGACGGTGCCTCCCTTTTCAAAGGCAAAGCACGATATTTTTGCCATTTTCTTTTTTTTTTAAGATTTTATTTATTTATTTGACAGAGAGAGACAGAGAGAGGGAACACAAGCAGGGGGAGTGGGAGAGGGAAAAGCAGGCTTCCCGCGGAGTAGGGAGCCCGATACGGGGTTCGATCCCAGGACCCTGGGACCATGACCTGAGATGAAGGCAGACGCTTAACGACTGAGCCACTCAGGCACCCCTCTGCCATCCTCTAAGAACATTATGAAAGCTGATTTTTAAAAATATACAGCATTTTCCAAAAAAAAAGTGCTTTGTTTTACTGACAAACCTCTGAGAGAGTTAATGATCCATATCATTATATCAATACTCTTCTCCCAAATGTTAGAATGCACCCAAATCTCTTTTTGTGATCAAAGTGTTTTCTGCTGAATCCATTTAATGACGATGTAGAAGACGACCTGACATGAGATGAGACTGCAAGCCTATATCAAGTCTGACCTTGTCACTGGACCTTATCATTCACTGCCATTAAATTATAGATGAAGAGAGTGACATCAGCAAGATGGCAAACAAGGAAGCTCCAGGCCCTTGTTCACCCATAGAAAACATTGGGAAAACAAAAACAAAAATGGAGATGGACTCAAATAACTTGGTAGGAAAACTAGTCAAAGCTATAACCACTAAGTAAATACTCAGTCAAGAAAAAACCACATTCAAAATAGCGTTTTACTCTCCTTTGTCCCACCTTCTGCCCAGAACTGCACAATCAGGAAGAAGGAGCAGAATAGAATTTATTAGCAACATGTCTGTTGGTTCAGGGGGATTGATTTCTGTCTTGCTAGAATTACAGTTTTCTGATTCCGTATCAATAGGTTGCCTCTCAATCCTCAAAGAAAAGCTCAGAAACAGATGGCTTCACTGGTGAAGTCTACCAAACATTTAAAGAAGAATTAATACCAATCTTCTTGAACTCTTCTTTAAAAAAAAATCAAAGAGGAGAAAACACTTCAAAATTCATTCTATGAGGTCAGCATTACTCTGATACCAAACCCAGACAAAGACATAACAAGAAAAGAAAGCACAGACTTGTATCCTTAATGAATATTGGTATAGAAATACTAGCAAACAGAATACTAGCAAATATAATTCAAGAACACATTAGAAGAACTATATATCATGAACAAGTTGGATATGTTCCTACAATGCAAGGATGGTTCAACATAAGAAAATCAATAAATGTAATATACCACCTTTGCAAAATGAAGTAAAAAAAACCCCACATGATCATGTCACTTCATGCAGAAAAAGCATTTGGCAAAATTCAACATTCTTTCATGATAAAAACACTCAACAAACTAGGAACAAAGGGAAACTACCTCAACACAATAAAGTCCATATATAAAAAACCCATAGCTAACATCATACTCAATGGTAAAACACTGAAGACTTTTCCTCTAATATCAGGAACAAGACAAGGATGCCCATTTTTGTCACATCTATTCAACACAGTACTCAAAGTTCTCCCCAGAGCAGTTAGGTAAGGACAAGATATAAAAGTTACCCAAATTGGAGAAGAGATAAAAGCATTTTTTCTTATATGCAGAAAATCATAAATTCCATCCAAAAAATCCATAAAATATTAAAACTAATAAATGAATTCAGCAAAATTGCAAGGTACAAAAAGTTGTTTTTATACACTACTGACGAAGAATCCAAAAAGGAAATTAAGAAAACAATTCCACTTACAATAGCACTGAAAAGAATAAAATATTTAGGATAAACTTAACCTAGGAGGTCAAAGACTTGTACCCTGGAACCTACAAAACATTTCTAGAAGAAATGAAAGTGGAAACAAATAAATGGAAAACAACCTATGCTCAAGGACTGGAAGGCCAAATATTGTTAAGATGTCTATACTACCCAAAGTGATCTACCAATTCAATGCAATTCCCATCAAAATCCTAATGATTTTTTTTTCAGAAATAGAAAATGTCATCCTAAATTTCATATGGAATCTCTAGGGACCCCCAAATAGAACAAACAATCTAGAAAAAGAGGAACAAAGTTGGAAGTCTCACACTTTCTAATTTCAAACCTTACTGCACAAATATACTAGTCAAGGGGTGCCAGGGTGATGCAGTCAGCTAAGTGTTTGACTCTTGGTTTTGGCTCAGGTTGTGATCTCAGGGTCATGAGATCCAGCCCCACATCAGGCTCCATACTGAGCAGAGAATCTGCTTCTCTCCCTCCCCCTCTCCCTTTGTCCCTGCCTCCCCCCCCCGCCGCCAAATAAATAGATAAATCTTTGTTAAAAAAAATTACACTAGTCGGGCGGGATGTGGGGACTCCTGTGAAAGGGCCCTCACGGCCACCCGCAGGCCGTGAGAGAAAAAGGCCCAGCTTTTGCTTGGAAAGGATAAACTTCGAAACCTTTGGGAAAGGCGCCGGGGACATGCAGAGACCTGCGGGCTGACATGAAGATGAGCAGCTCAGAGGAGGTGTCCTGGATTTCCTGGTTCTGTGGGCTCCGTGGCAATGAATTCTTCTGTGAGGTGGATGAAGACTACATCCAGGACAAATTCAATCTCACTGGACTCAATGAGCAGGTTCCTCACTATCGACAAGCTCTAAACATGATCTTGGACCTGGAGCCTGATGCAGAACTGGAAGACAACCCCAACCAGAGCGACCTGATTGAGCAGGCAGCCGAGATGCTTTATGGATTGATCCACGCCTGCTATATCCTCACCAACCGTGGCATCGCCCAGATGTTGGAAAAGTACCAGCAGGGAGACTTTGGCTACTGTCCCCGTGTGTACGGTGAGAACCAGCCAATGCTTCCCATCGGCCTTTCGGACATCCCAGGTGAGGCCATGGTGATGCTCTACTGCCCCGAGTGCATGGACATGTACACACCCAAGTCATCGAGGCACCATCACACGGACGGCACCTACTTCGGCACCGGTTTCCCTCACATGCTCTTCATGGTGCACCCCGAGTGCCGGCCCAAGCGGCCCGCCAGCCAGTTTGTGCCCAGGCTCTACGGTTTCAAGATCCATCCGATGGCCTACCAGCGGCAGCTCCAAGCCGCCAGCGACTTCAAGAGCCCAGTCAAGACGATTCGCTGATTCCCCATCCCACTTGTCCCTCAGTCTTTGGCACCTCCGATCCTCTGCTGCCACCCTTTCAGGAACCCTCTATGGTTTTTAGTTTAAATTAAAGGGGTCATTATTGTGGTGGGAATATGAAATAAAGTGGAAGAAAAGGCAAAAAAAAAAATTACACTAGTCAAAACAGTGTGGTACCAATATAAAGACATTATATAGGCCAATGGAATAAAGTAGAGAGCCCATAAATAAACCCTTACATATATGGTCAAACGATTTTTGACAAGGGAGCCAAGACCTTGCAATGGAAAAATGACTTTTTATCAACCAGTGATGCTGGAAAAACGGGATATCCACATGCAAAAGAATGAAGTTGGACTCTTACATCATATACAAAACTTAACTCAAAATGTACCAAAGGCCTAAACTAAGAGCCAAAACTATAAAACTCTTAGAAGAAAATAGAGGAAAGGCTTCATGACATTGGATATGTCAATGATTTCTTGGAGATGACACGGAAAGTACAGGCAACAAAAGTAAAAGTAGATAAATTGAGCTTCATCAGAATTTTAAAACTTTTGTATATCAAAGGACATAATCAACAGAGTGAAAAGACAACTCATGGATTAGGAGAAAATATTTACAAATCATATATCTGATAAGGGATTAATATCTAGAATACATAAAGATCTTCTACAACTCAACAATAAAAAACAACTCAAATGAAAAATAAGAAAAGGCTTGAATGGACATTTCTCCAAGGAAGATATATAAATGTCCAATAAGCACATAAAAAGATGCTCAACCGCAAAAGCACTAGAGAAATGCAAATCAAAACTGCAAGGAGATATCACTTAACATCCATTAGGACAGTTATTATTTTTTTAAAAAAATCTTAAAATAACAAGTGTTGTGAGGATGTAGGAAAAAAATGGAACCTTTGTGCATTGCTGATAGAAATGTAAAATGGTACAATTGATGTGGAAAATGATACGGTGGTTCCTCAAAAAAATAAATGTAGAATTACCATATAATCCAGCAATTCCACTTCTGGGTATATACCCAAAAGAATTGAAAGCAGATACTTGAACAGATATTTGTACAACTATGTTCATAGCAGCATTACTCACAGTACCCAGAAGCTTGACACAACTCAGGTGTCCATCAACAGATGAGTGGATAAACAAAATACGTTCTATACATACAATGGGATCTGATGCAGCCTTAAAAAAAAAAAGAGCATTCTGACATAGGCTACAACATGGATGAAGCTTGAAGACATTATGTTCAGTGAAACAAGCCAGACACAAAAGGACAAATTTGAGAAACCTAGAGCAGTCAAATCATAGAGACCAAGAGTAAAAGCGGGTTGGCTGGAGGGTAGGGGGGCGGGCAGTATGGGCAGTTAGTGTTCAATGGGGGCAGAGTTTCAGTTTGGGAAGGTGAAAACGTTCTGTGGATGGTGGTGATGACTCCACAGCAATGTGAGTGCCACATGAAGCCACCGAACTGTACGCTTGACAATGGTTAAAGTTAAAAAAATTAAGAAAGAAAAAATAATAAAAAAGATCTGAATCCTTTTCACACTATCAAAATACTAAACATATGATAGTAACTGCTGAAAGAAAGTTTGTGTTATAGATATTAAAAACTCCTCAAAAGATGAATGGATAGAGCCTATCCTACACGCAATGGTGTGCACCGTTGCTGGCCGACAGTATCTCGCCAAGTTCAATGGTCAGACCTCCATGTTTCATTTCTCCACACTTTCCTCCTATTTTCAAGCATATTTAACTAAACCATTGCCCTGGAGTAAAAACAGAACAAAACAAAAAACAAACAAACAACAAAAAAAAAAAACCTCTACACTGAAGAGCTAGGTAGCATTGATCAGAATGAATTTGCAGACTTCTCATCCTGTAATCAAGTGGAATCATGGGAATTCAGCCCTAAAACAATCAAAATTAGCAGACCATTCTGCAAAGAAAAGACAGATTCAAGTTTTAAAGAATGTGATGCTAAAAGAGCAGCACCTGGGAGTTTGGAAGGTTACGGAAATGGTTTTCATCTGCTTGTGGTTGCATGAATCTCTGCATGTGTTAAAATTCATACAACAAAAAGGCGTCAGTATAAATGTTTTTCAATAGCATAGATCCCTGTGTTTAATTTAATCATTTCTGTCCTTTGCATTTTCTCTCAGTCATAGAATCCACATCCTAGGCCTCTCCATTGGCCACAAGAGTCTACTTGTACTTCTGGAGGATAAGCAAGTAATCACCCTCAAGTACTAAACACTCCACGATCTCTTTAAGCAACTGAAAGAAAGTTAATCTGAATTAAGCATATAATATGACATTCCACTCTTGGTCTCTCCTAGTTCTTGAGCTCTCTGAAGCTTCAGAAGTGTGCACCCCATAAATATTAACCACCAGACATAGACCAGCATCTCCCTGTTCCACAACATGCCTCTTGTCAGCTCTCCTTAGGATGTAATCAGACCTATATTTAATATACTTGTAACAATAGCAAAGCGCCTCCGGGATATGATGTGAAAAGTAAAAGTCAGAAATCATTTTTGCTTTATTTATTATGCTGTCATTTACTGTCATGTGGTAAAGGCCAAAGAATCTAATTCCCTTTGCTACTGAGATTATAGCAGCTTGTCTTTTTTTTATGCAGATTTCATATTTGAAAGATGCTTAACTGGGTTTGCATTGTTACCCGATGTTGGTAATCTGGTCTTCCCACCGTCTGGGTCTTACACGGACAAAAGTGAATTCAGTCCAAGTCGTCTTGCTGTACCTCGTCATCTCTTTTGGTGTCTGCCTGAGACAAAACTGAAATATAGTATTTTTATGTGAATATATTTACATCTGTGCCCTTCATTAGACGCATTTTTAATCTTAGCTGTATCGTTCAGATGTTGACAGCAGTGCCATGCCAGACCACACTGAGGCAAAAGGGAAAATTGGTAATACTGAGCCTATATTTAAAATTTTGATATTTTGGGGGTGCCTGGGTGGCTCAGAATTAAGCATCAGCCTTCGGCTCAGGTCATAATCCCAGGGTCCTGGGATCAAGCCCCGCATCAGGCTCCCTGCTCAGCAGGAAGCCTGCTTCTCCCTCTCCCACTGCCCCTGCTTGTGTACCCTCTCTTGCTGTCTCTCTCTCTCTCTCTCAAATAAATAAATAAAATTTTTAAAAATAAATAAATAAAATAAAATTTTGGTATTTTGTTCACCATGGCTTTCTTACATTAATTTTAATTTTTTAAAAAAATATTGCCTCAGAATGCTATTTACCTTAATTGTTGAGTTTCTGGCAGCTGAGGAGAATGCCGAGTTGCTCCCCTCACTCTGGTCCCAGATGGCAGTACAAAGAATTTAGGCGGAAAGTCATAGAATTTCCTTAAGAAAAAATGCAAGACTGAGAAACATAACTTCTTGATTCTGCCATTCAAAATTGTTTTACCAACTATATTCTTTTCCTAGGGCTGCCATTACAAAGAACCACAAACTGAGTGGCTTAAAACATCATAAACCTATTGTCTCATGATTCTGGAGGCCGGAAGTCTGATATTAAGTTATCATCCAGGGCCTTGCTCCCTCTAAAGCCTTTCTAGAGAGACTCCTTCCTTGTCTCTTGCTGGCTTCAAGTGGTGGCGGGAAACCTTTGGCTTTCCCTGGCTTGCAACTATATCACTCCATGTTTCGTCTCTCCCATCACATGGCCTTCTCTCTATGTGTCTTCCTATCATCTTATAAGGACACCAGAGGTATTGGACTAAGGCCCTACCGTCCTCCAGTATGACCTCGTCTTAACTAATTACATCTGCAATGACCTTATTTCTAAATGAGGTCCCCTTCTGAGGTACTGGAGGTTAGGACTTCAACATGTCTTCTCAGAGGACATAACTCAGCACATAACACCCACCAAAACAGTTGATAACTCTTATGTAACTACTTATTCAACCTACCAGCACATCAAGTTGCTTGGTGGGATTTGTGTGGGATGTGGCAGCGTGTTGGTGGCCAATGAAGGTCTCCTTGGCTGCCTGACGGTCCCACTCTACTTTCTCAATCACTGAATACACTCCCTCCACACCCGCTCCTGCTCACTTTTTCCTCTTCTCCCTCTCTGCTCCTACTTGCTGCCTGTTACCACCTACCCTCATCCACTCTGTTCCCACCTGCAGCCCAGCTCCCTAATATCTTTTCTCTTCCCAGGACCCCACGGGTGCAGAGCCTGTAGCCTAAACAGTCCATCATCCTCTGCCCAGCTCCTTCCTGTTCTCATTCAATTGACCTGAGTCTCCTACTCAACTCAGGTGCCTAAACTTTGCTCAAGCTAGGTTGTGCAGACCTCATGTGAGATGATTCTCATGCATGCTGTCTATTTTCCAATGACTTCTTTTCCTCACTACATGGGGAGAGTCTCCCAAACTCCTCATGCCAGCCACCATCAGACTCAAGATTCTGTGAGGGTTTGGGGGAGCAGGAAAAGAGAGAGAGCCAAGACAGAAACGCAACATTTGTCTACCAGCCCCACGCACTGGTTTTCTATTCTTCTTGGATGGTCACCACCTAAAAGCAGTAAACCATTTGTTTAATCACTTTGCTTTTCCCCGACTGCTAGTAATGAAATGCTGCCCTCTCTAAAATAATTTCCTGACTATTTGCTAAGATTCATCTCTGACATTTCATTAAATATGATCATTTAACTGTACAAGTACAAATGCATTTTTAATTTAGCTTACTGCAGATATTACAGATGTGGGGAAATGAATTCGTATTGCTCTAGGACAAATATATCATTCACATATGCATGCGACAAAAGAACAAATTATTAAAAATTACTGAAACTTCCACGAAGATTTATATTTAACTTTTCCATTTTCAATCTCCATGTCATTGTGAAAACATATAGCATGTCACTTTGTCAGACATGATTCTATGAGGAATGTGGGGGGGATTCCATAAGGATCTTGATCAATAGCCTACATCTCTGTCCTTGACACAGTGTGGCATTAAAAGAGATGGAGACTAGTTTCAAGTGTGAAGTGATGAGGTTAGCAGTCTTATCACTAAAGCAGCGGGTTGTTTGCCTTCTCTACAAAAGAAAACAGCAATAGGAAGTGTGTCTCCTATCCCGTGGACTG